GTTTACCACTCTCTGACTGAAGAAATTTCTCCACATCTCAACCCTAAATAGTTTACTCCACATCTTTAGATTGTGATCCCTGGTAATGGACACCCCAACAGTAAAATTCACATTATACTACATTTGCCCTGTATTTGCCCACTCAGCTTGTCCATGTCATACTGAAGCATCTCTGCATCCTCCCCACAGCTCACCTTCCCACCCAGCTTTGTGTCATCTGCAAATTTAGAGATATTGCATGTAATTCCCTCATTCAATTCATGAATATGTATTGTATATGGCTAGAGTCTTAGTACTGATTCCTGCAGTACCCCACTAGTCATTGCTTGCCTTTCTGAAAAATAACCTGTTTATTCCTACTCTTTGTTTCCTTTCTGCCATACAGATTCCCATCTATCTCAATGCATTATCTTCAATCCCATACACTGTAATATTACACACTAATCTCCTATGTGAGACTTTTGTTGAAAGCCTTCTGAAAGTCCAAGTCAACCACATCCGCTGGCTCCCCCTCATCAACAGTATCAGTTATAGCCTTGAAGAATTCCAGTAGATTTGTTAAGTATGTTGAGTCTGTCCGATCCTGCCACTCTTTTCCAACTGCTCAACTAATTTATAATAGACTTCAGTGTTTTCCTGAGCATCAGCATCAGGCTGACTGGTTTATACCTCCTGGTTTTCTCCCTGTCTCCTTTCTTAAAGAGAAGGGTTACATTAACTACCCTCTAATCTGTAGGAACTGTTCCAGAGGCTAAAGAATCTTGAAAAATGACTACCAATGCATTCACTATTTCTAAGGCCACTTAAGTACTCTGGGATATAGATTATCAGGGCTTGGGGATTTATTGGCTTTCAGTCCCATCAAGCCCCTCAACATTTCTAGTATATTATTTGTGGTCTCCTTTGGACACAGAACCAAAGTATGTGTTCAGTTGGTGAATCGTTTCTTTGTTCCCCCTTATAAATTGCCCTGTTTCTGAATATAAGTAACCTACATTTGTCTTCACCAAATTATTTCTGTTCATATACCTATAGAAACTTCTATGTATTTTGTATGTTCTTTGCAAGCTTACTCTCACACTCTACTTTCCCTTTCTTAATCAATCTTTTTGTTTACCTTTGCTGAATTCTAAACTGCTTTTACTCCTCAGGTCTTTCTGACCAATTGGTATGCCTCTTCCTTGGATGTAACACAATCTTTAATTTCTCTTGTAAGCCATGGTTTGGCCACCTTTTCCATTTTACTTTTGCACCAAACAGGAATGAACAATTGCTGCAATTCACTCATGTGCTCTTTGAATGTTTGCCATTGCCTTTCCACTGTCATCCCTCTAAGTAATGGTCCCCAATCTATCATAGGCAATTCACACCTCATACATGAGATGTGCAATTGTACGATTCAGGAGCCTAAACTCAGAAACAACTATGTCACTCTATATCTTGATGTATATCATGTTATAGTTGCTCATCCCCAAGGGGCTTCACACATCTAGATTGCCAATTATTACTTTTTCATTACACAATATGCAACAGCCTAGGATGGCCTATTCTCAGGATGACAGCAGAAATGTTTTAGAGATGTTCTCAAAACATTTCTGAAGAGGTCAAACATATCTCTCCACACATGTAAGACCTTGGCTTATGACGACAGATTAAATTAGAGAAGGCTCATTTGGGAAAGCATCAAATAAGTAGAGGCTTCGTCAGGAACATGTAGAGTTTGTAGTCAAGGCATTGTGGTGTGTGCAAACCTCTAAACAAATCTCCTCAACACTGAAGCACAACCTGTCCTGCAGAGGGGCCGAGTGGCAGTCTGCAGATCATGCAATGGACATCATCGACTATTTCAGAATTCATTGATTCAGACAGGAGGCAAGTCATCATTAATCCTGAGGTACAGTACTGCCTGACAGGGACATTGTTCCAGTGACTACCTTCAAGGTTAATGGCAGCCTTTGAGATGCGACTGATATAGAATGTGTAACACAACTAATTGAAGAGTGCTTAAATTAAACTGTCCCATTTATTGTAAACATTTACAAACCTTTCCGTTCCTGAGCACCCTCCTGTATCTGTCAATCAGACACTGTTTATCTTTGGTTGGCCTCTTTGATGTGTTACAATGTTTAATTAATGTTGCTCTTGACTTTTCACCTGATGAGCACTTAGGGTGAGATCTTTCCACTGAATCCAGAATCACACAAACATTCCCATATCAATGAGAGGGAAAAAAAACAGAAGGGGATTGTTCAGGAGTGTCTCCTAATACATGCAGCTATTGAATATCAAAACTTTATAAATGCTACAGCCTTGGATCTTGGCACTGGTAGGTCATTACACTATTTTACATTGACTAGATTTCCATGGAGACTGGAAGGTGTACAATTTGTACTTAATGCAATTCACAACTATCTGCAATGTGCACCAACAGACATCAGAGCTGGTTTGTTCTGTCTGGTGTACATTTCTACCATCACATCATCATTACTGGAAGTAACATTTCATGGATTACAGGACAGAAGGATTCATTAAATCAAATGGCTTCAGTTGAAGGATACATTACTTAGTGACAATATCAGCATCACTACTTCCTGTTTTATTTTGGACAGCCACTAATTTTAATATCAGTTCTCAGCTCAGCTCAATCAATCTGAGTACCCACACAAAGTTAGCAGAAGAAAAATTTCCTAAGGGCATTTGAACAGGCGGCATTTCTGACATGATGAAAAAACTAACACACATGGTATTAAAGGGAATGTAACCATTTGGAAGAGATCATAGGGTGAAATGTTGGACTAGATCTATCATATTGGCAGGATATGTGGCTATTCTTGTTCCCCAGATATCTGTGCTGGGAACTCATTAGTTTAAATGATCTTGCCACAAATTTCAGAAGAATGATATCAAAATTTGCTGATAACCTAAAATCAAATTAGGAGTCTCAGCATACTAACGAAGTATGCAGAAATATTCAGGATATGACTCCAGACACATGAAGTCTCATGGCATCAGGTCAAATACGGGCAGGGAAACCTCGTACTGATTACCACATACTGCATCCTTAGCTGATTAATCAGTACTCCTTCATGTTGAAGAAGAACTAAGCATAGAATATACTATATAGAATATAACACAGAATATACTCTGGTGGGGGACTTCAATGTGCATCACCAAGACTGACCCAGGAACACCATTAGCTATTGAGCTGATCTAGTCCTAAAGGGAATAGTTGCCAGGTTGGGTCTGCAGCAGATGCTGAGGGAATCAACAAAAGAGAAAAACCTGCTTGACCTTGTCCTCACTAATCTACCTTTTGCAAATGCATCTGTCCTCGACAATAGCTATTGGAGAGACCACCGCACAGTCTTTGAAGGGACAAAATTCCATCTTAAATTTGAGATTATCCTCTTTTGTGTTATGTGGCACTACCATTATGCTAAATGGAATGGATTCTGAACAAATCGAACAACTCAAAAACTGGTATCTATGAGGCATGGTGGACCAGCAGCAGCAGAATTGTATTCAATCCACAATTTGTAAACTCATGGCTTGGCTCTCTACCATTACTATCAAGCTGTGTGATCAATATTGGTTCAATAAAGAGTGCAGTAGGGCATGCCAGGAGCAGAACCAAGTGTATCTAAAAATGAATTGTTGACTTGGTGAAGCTATAACAAAGTATTTGTATGTCCAACAGTGGAAGCAGCATGCAATGGGGAGGGCCAAGTGATCCCACAACCAATGGATCAAACCTATGTTTTTAAATTTAACCTATATTTCCTAATCAACCTGTTCAGAGATGTTATTACACACTTCTGGAGAACATGGGAGTTGAACCCAGGATTCCTGGTTCAAGGGTAGGGACTTTACCATTGCACCACAAGAAAGCTTTATTGATCAAATCTAAGCCCTATAGTCCAGTTATATATACCTGTGAATGGTGCTGGACAATTAATCAAGAAACATCTGCCAAATAGCCTCCTCCTAAATAATTAAGGAGCCCACATCAGTGCAAAAGAAAAGTCTGAAGTATTTGTATCTATCTTCAGCCAGAAGTGCCAAGTGGATGATCCACCTTGCAATCCTCCTGAGGCCCTCAGCATCACATATGCCAGTCTTCAACCAATTTTACTCACTCCACCCGATATCAAGATACAGCTGAAGGCATTGAATACCACAAAGGCTATGGGTCTTCAAGCAGCACTTGTACAGAGAGAAAAAAAACATCACTTGTAATTAGTTTGATTCCTCCACTCAGGGCCTGTCAGCTCTTGACCTAATTACACCCTTGTTATGAATATGAACAAAAAAAGGTGAACTTCAGAGGTGAGGTGAGAATAACTGCCCCTAACGTCAAGGCAGCACTTGACTAGATATGGTATCAAGGAACCCCAGCAAAACTGAATTCAACAGGAATTAGGGAGAAAACTCCCCACTGGTTGGAGTCATACCACGCACAAAAACTATGGCTGATGGAAATTAATCATCTCAATACCAGGTCTTCGCTGCAGGAGTATCTCTGGGTACTGACCGACCGTCTTCAGCTGCTTCATCAATGGCTTCTGCAGAAATGGGAATTTTCGCTGATGACTGCACTATGTTCAGCACCATTCATGACTTCAGAGATACTAAACCAGTCCATGTCCAAATGCAACAAGACTTGGACTATTTTCAGGTTTGGGCTGATAAGAGACAAGTGAAATTCTCTCCAGACTGAGTGCTAGACAATGACTGTCTGAACCAAAACAGAAATCTAAACATTGTCCTCAACAGCATTACCATTGCTCTTTTAAATGAAATGCCAAGCTGGTTGAATTTAGCTCTAATATTCCCTCAGATAAATTTGGTCTTGCTTAAGGAAACAATTCCCCTCCCGTGGTTGGCTGTGCTCCGAAACAGCGGGAAGGAAATGTACAACATCTGCCCCTCCCCCTACCACACAGCTTTCCCGAACCACAGAGGGAGATGATAGACTGAATCAGACAGAGATGCAGTGAGACGGGACATCACAGCCACAGACTGCTGTTAGATGAAGACAAGTAGCTTTCAGCAAGGCAGTCACCCAGCTCAGTCACAGCGAAGCCCTTGACTGCAGACAGCTCTGTAGGAACACTGGAAGTGGTAAGTGTCTGTTTCTCTCTCCCTGTTCTGTACTAAAACAGCACATCGCGAGGGTGTCAGGGCTTTTGCAGGAGCTTAATCCATAACTCATTGTTCCGGTGTCCAACCGATTTTGCACAAATAACACCGTTGTATTCTGGAGTGTGACTATGCTCGACCCAGACGTCTCTTGATTGATGCATTTGGTACTCTACATGCAGAATGTACAACGCGCTAGGATCTGTGTCTGACAACAAAGGAACTCAAGAGTTTTGAACTCTGAAGGTCACAGTTGAACAGCTGGGATAAGTGTTCACTAAAAAAGTTTTAGTCTTGCCACTTACTGGGTGATTCTGGGTCATTTAGTAGATCTTAGTGATAGAACATTAGATCTGTTTCACTGCAGTTGATATTCGATTTGACAGACTTCGGCTTTAGATTTTCCAACTGTAGAATTTTGAAATTCCATCATTCTGAGAAAATTGATTAAGACATCATGTTATGTGCATCCTCAGTGGATGGAGCAGTTCATTGCCAGTCACAGGATGACTGAGTGTCTAAGTCTAGTGTTGCAATTACAGGCAAGTTCTCAGGAACACAGCCACACAAAAGCAGCACACAAACGCACTACAGGTATTTACATTTTTTGTGGAAAATGAAACATGGAAATACTAACCAAAGATTCTCTCTTTCTCACATCAAGGCTATTACTTTCAGTGCTAGTCAAGTTACACTTCCTCACTTCAGAGTCTGTTACAGCGCAACTAAATGCAGTTCAGAACTCCCTCTATTCTCTTTGACAATTTCACCCAGTTTAAGCTCTTCCCTCTTTTGTCCAGCATCCACACCAGCCATCCCAAGGCCTCCTTGAGTGAGGCTTCCTCTCTTGTGCTGAATTAGGGATGGTTTTGTGCTCAGAAAACCTGGACTGCCTTAACTTCATGTCATAGAGGACCCTTACACAGCAGATGAGAGAATGTCATTGACCAGTTTATTTTGGATTTGAATCTTGGCCAGTGGTATGTATCTCACTGAAACATTTGTGTGGCTGTATGTATTCTGGTGTACTTGCCAATGTTTGACTGTTACCAATTCAAGTACATTTCAATCCAATAAATCGTTACCAAAAGTTTTATCGTTACTTTCCCATGGAAAGAACATTATCAGTCAACACAACATAAAAGGAATAAACTAATTGGTGCCATTGTTCTTCCTTTTATTCCAATATAACAATGTACAATTCTGTGCAATGTGTTCTGTATCTATAACTTGTTTAGGCTTGAATGTCAGACTGAAGCAACTGCTGTCTTAGAAAAATCCATTACTGGTTGTCATGATAACAAGTGCAAACATATATTTGAGTTTATGAAATCCAATATTCATTGTTGACTGCCAATTAATGATAGATAATGCCAGTACAGTGCAATCATGATTTTCAGTATTTAAATGTTCAAAAGTTCAAACATTATCACCGACAGTAGTTAGCACTCAAGCTTCAGCCATTGTACTCATTTAATTCAAATATTTGCATCCTTAGAAGAACAGGAAATTGAAGATATTTTGCAGATTTATTCAGAGGATATATAGTAGAGAGGAACAGTGGAGCACATATCTGTCTATCTGTTCACAGCAAATGTTTACAGATGTTAAGGGTTGCTGAGAAAACCTATAAATTGCTTTAAATAAGACCATAGGAATAGATCATTCAGTGTTTTTCCACCATTCAATTAGATTGCAGTTGATCTGCACAATTGTAAGTACACACTTTTGCTTCATATCCTTTGATATTGTCCATTGTGAATTAATTGGTAGCACTCTTGCATCTGAGTCAGAAGATTGTGCATTCAAGTCCATCTCCTAGAACTGAACACAAAAATCTGGGCTCAATATCTAATACAACACCGAGGTAGTGTTGCCATCTTTCAGATGCGATATTAAATTGAGGCCCACCTGGTCTCAGATGGACATAAAAGATCGCACAGAATTAATTTGAGGAAGAGCAATGATTTATTCCTAATACTTTGGCCAATATTTATTCCTCAACCAACATCAGAAACACAGATTATCTGATAATGATCAGATTGTGGTTTGTGAGAATTTGTTGTTCACAAATTGAATGCTACATTTCTGATATTGCAACGGTGAATCCTATTTAGTTCATTGGCTGCAAAGCATCTTGAAATGTCCAGAAATCACCAGGAGTAAGTCAATGAATGAAATGCAGTGGGGAAGCTTTTTTTTTTGTTTACATTTCACAGTCCCTCAGCTAGAAGCTCCTGCCACGAGATGAAATTGATGAGATTTACAGTGTTTCTCGGATATATCCTCATTTAATGCACCTTTCTTCTCACCCACTTCACTCAGATTTCTAACATTGACAACATTGACCAGCACACTGAGAATGGGGAGTCCTCCTTTGTTTGTGTAAATTTGAAAGGTTCATTTTTATTACATTCTTGCATCTGTAGGATGAGAAGCACAGCATTGGATAAGTTCAATGTGAAATAGAAAAATATTAAACTTAATTATTAAAATATCAATCAGATGTGTGGAGCTATTGGAGAGTTGTTAGTTCCCAAGGAGATAGCTCCCTTCAAAAGGGAATACAGTTCTGAGTTAGGCCTCCAATTTCTCACCTTCTCTTTGACTGTTCAATATTTCTGAGATGACTACATTTTCGCAGGAATCTAGACAGGAGGCAGGAAGATAGAACATCAGAAAAGGGAAAGAAATGCATAGAATAATTTTTAGTCCAAATATAGACCACCTGGCAAAACAGGTCTGTCCTGGGGTTTATGGTCCTGCAAAGCCTGCTCTCACTCTCTCACTATCAATATATTCCTTTCTTCCTTATAGGCTTATCTGGCTTCCCTGCAAATGCAACTATGCTAATGATGCAAACTACTTGTGACAGTGAATTCCACATTTACATTATTCAGATTTTAAAAAAATTCCATAGGATTTTAAAAAAAAAACTATTTATAGTCTCTAATTTTGATCTCAGTGGAAATATTTCTGCATTCACTCTTCCATAATCTTAAAAATAACAGAGATCATCTCTCAACCAATTTGAAGAGCCTCAGCTTGTTAAATCTTTGTCAATTGGTATAGTCTCTCAGTTCTCCAGTGATTAGCATTGTTAAGAAGTTTATATTGGGGTTTAATTGTATTTGTAATGGTAAGGAGTGAACAATTATCATAACTGGGAGCAATATGTGATGGACAGGTTTCCCCCTTCTCTTACCGTTCCTTCATCTAGTTTCCTTAAAGTAAAGATGAAGAAACTGATTACAAATCTTTTTTGTGAATATTGCTGTTCATTCAAAAATAATGAGGATAATACCAGAAGGGTTAGTGTTTCCAAAGCTACCAATGGCCACCTACTGACTGCAATGGGTGGCAGGTAGCTGCATTGGCTGGAGAGATAGAGAAGGTGGTAATGAACCTGACTCCTGTTTCCTAGCTGCAGGCTATTAAATTTAGTCCAAGACCTACAGCTGCGCTGCGGAGAAGTACCAGCTGGGGACATGCCTGTTTTTAGAGTGGGTTTGCAGAGGTTCTTGGTGAACTAGCTCTCCTGCTTAAATGCAGTTTGAAGAGTTCTTGCTGAAAATTGAGACTTATTAGTGAGAGATAGTAGGAACTGCAGATGCTGGAGAATCTGAGATAACAAGGTGTAAGCTGGATGAACACAGCAGGCCAAGCAGCATCATAGGAGCAGGAAGGCTGACGTTTCGAGCCTAGTCTTTTGGACCTTGTTGTAGGCACTTTAAGAACTGAGTAAATAACAATTTGGGAACAGCATTTTATTGTCAAAGAAATTGTACGTTTAATACTTCATCAATTATTGAATGGATAAAATGGACAGGGAGCTTTAATTGTATCAATTGTAAATAGAGTCATAGAGTCATACAGCACAGAAACAGACCCTTTGTTCCAACCAGTCCATGCCGAACATAATCCCAAACTAAACTAATCCCACCTGTCAGCTCCTGGCCTGTATCCCTCCAAATCTTTCCTATTCATGTACTTATCCAAATGTCTTTTAAACATTGTAATTGTACCCACATTCAACGCTTCCTCTGGAAGTTCATTCCACATGTGAATCACCCTCATGTCTTTTTTAAATCTCTCTACTCTCAACTTAAAAATGTGCCCCCTAGTCTTGAAATCCCCATTCTAGGGAAAAGACAACTACTATTGACTCTATCTATACGTCTCATTATTTTATAAACTTCTATCAGGTCACCTCTTAACTTCCTACGCTCCAGTGGAAAAGAGTTCCAGCCTATCCAGCCTTTCTTTATAACTCAAACCTTCCATACCTCGCAACATCCCGGTAAACTCTCTCCAGTTTAATAATTTCTTCCTATAACTGGGCAGCCAGAACGAAACACAATATTCCAGAAGAAGCCTCACCAATGTCCTGTACAATCTCAACATGACTTTCCAACACCTATACTCAAAGGACTGAGCAATAAAGGCAAGCATGCTAAATGCCTTTTTAACCACCCTGTCTATATGTGATACAAACCTCAAAGAATTATGTACTTGCACCCATAAGTCCCTCTGTTCTACAAGACTAGCCAAGGCCCTATTTTGCAGCATTAACTATCTGACCAGTTCACTCAAACCCAGGGATCATGTAAACCATCAAATTGTCCTAACTGGTAAGAAGAAACTAGAAAGTGTCTGGCAAGACAATCACACCAATTAATTGGCCACTTTCTAATGTGAACAATGAGAGCCTGAGTCTGAATATTCTGAATATGAGCTGAATGAAGAGATATATGATGTTAGTATTCATTACATTCTTTCTGCCTGTCCCACGGAAGAGTCTAAATCACCAAGAAACAATGTAAATCCAGGAATATGGATTTCAAAATCCTGATATACACCTCAGGATTGGCTCCAAATTCAAGGCTTCAAGTCAGACTAACCGTTTACTTTGATTTCTTTTAATGAATGAAAATTCTCAAAGTCAAGCCTCACCTTCCTCATTGCTGAGCTTAATGTGATTT